TTCTGTGCATTTACATTTTTGAGGGCTACACTTCCCACTATTTTTTTAGAAAAAAAAATCATCAGTGCTTTGCACTTCATATTTAATGAAGAGAATGAGATTCAACTCCTTTGTCTGCCTGAARATAAGGGGGATAACCCATAAAATCACACCGACACAGTACGTAATCAGACCATGAAGTCATTGACYGTATTTAAGATTTATTCTCTTATATTTTGACCAAAATGATGATATATAYGCATTTACACTCTCTCTGGATGTGATGTAGGCATCATGCTGCTATGGGAGCTACCCCTCTGAGAAGCACTTTCCTGGGAATCTGATCCTCACTATAAAGTGTCTCATTCTATTTCTCCGTGCCCTTGAAACCATTTCTGCGCTTAAAAGATATGGCTTTTGAAAGACTTACATTTTTATCATCACCTATGGTCCCTTATGATCCCTTTGCTYCCCATTTTAAAACAGAATATTTAAATACTGTGTTTAGGTCTTAGGAAGGTGGTATTTTATTATCTTTATTTTGTTCCATCTCCTGCCTAATCCTTTTTTTGTGGAGTCCTCAGAATGTTCTGCTCATGAGGGATTGCTGTATAGAGGAAGTGGTGCAAATTTTGATAATCCTTAGAGCTTTTTTACATGGAATCAAAGTCACTAGCATCAAACACCATCTCTCTATAAAACCTTTTTCACCCCAGTGAAGAAGTTGAAAACTTGACGCCTTTGTGGAGGGGCCCTTAACTCATATTTCAAATTTGCAGGACGGTAAAATTAAATATACCCTGCATGGACATTTGCTGAACAGAAAGTTCTAGTCTGAATTTTTCCTTTCCAGAGGCTAAACTCAGCTGTGAGTGGCAGTGCGTGAAGGCCGATACAAAAGTTAATGTTTCCTTGGCAGGATATTGTTTTTTAGGATCCTCTGCACCTCTCATGAATGGGCTCTAAACACCTCCACGTGCACTTGCCAGTGCATGAGAAGGGAACCACCCCAAGACCTCAGCTTCAGCCCACATTCATTCTCTCAGGAGAGCTGAATAATAAAAAAGACAACTAAAAACAAGTAATCCAACCCTTTAAAACTGTTCTTACAACATAAAGTTTTGTTTCCTTAAAGACACAAGAAATGCAGAACATCTAGGTTTTAATGAAGGAATGTATTCACCTGTTTTTTTAAGGCAGTTATTCAGAGTTGTGCATTAATAAGGAGCTTTCAGCTAACATTCAGCCTTCTGCTATGTAATACTAAAGCAGGCAGAAAATACGGATGAAATCCTGTCTCCATTGAAGTCCACTGGAATTTTATCACTGACTTCCGTGGGCCCACGAAAAGTCCATGATTGTGTAAGCTGTTACATAACTTCAGCTAGAATTCAATTGTAACCAGTGACTTAAGACATAACATGGAATAATTCCAAACAATCAAACAAATGATAAGTGGATTTTTCATAACATTAATATTACAATAACTAAAAGACTGCTTTTCAAGATAATGTTAAGGAGTATTCTTATATTACTAGCAAATAATGAGGATTTCCTAAAAAAAAAGTAGGTATCAGAAGTAAAAAAAAACTGGCCAAAAAAAAATGYTGCTGTGCTGGTTAAATTCACTTATTTTCATAATTTTGCCACACCACTTACGGATATAAACATTGGATTTCCTAGAATTCCACACCAATAAAATTCCTCTTGCTGTTTTATATTTGAACAACATTTATGTTCTTACAAAATCAACAACACATTACCTTTTCATAAACTATTTATACATTGAACAATTCCTGTCATTTCTTATACTGCTATTGTATATTTTATATTTAAAAGGAAATTCTACTCATAACAAGCAGAGTTCTTCAGCTCTTAGTAAAGCTTCTTAGTGATGTCCTACAGGGAATAATTTTCAATCAAGTGCTTATCGTATCTTTTTCTTGAATAAAAAGTTTTGAAGCTGTTACATTTTTGTTTATGAGCATTAGTATTCTTACTCGATATATATTTTAAGTATATTTTCAGCCTATTGATATGCTAAAATGTTTTGCTGATCTAATGAGGAGATGGGAATGGTCTATGAAGCCAGTGAACTGTGAACAAAGTCACATACAGGTTTTCTGGTATTTTATTGACATAGTATTTGTCATACTATGACAAAGTATTCATCTATATATCTGGCCATATGGGATTTCATTCCAGAACTCCAAAAACTTGGATTATTTTGCTGCATCTCTGTTTAAGAGATGAGTGGCTTTAATTCTGCACAAAAATACTTCTTCCTCTGTTACAAAAGTGTGATTATTTTATCTCATGTCTACGTCAGAAATATATCTTATTTCCAAATCATCATTTGGAGTCAAATCGTTATTTCTTACTACAGAAAAAYGAAAGTTAGATCCTCAATATATGACTGAGCTGCTATAAAGAGACCTCTAAATAAATGATTTGAGGTACACCTAGCAAACACCTTCTATCCCGACTACGAAGGCATGGGTAGAATTCACAAGAACTTTATTACAAATTCAGAACTTGGAAACAATTTCACCAAAGTCAATGTGACTTGGACCATTAAGTTCAGTGGAAGCAGAAACAAGGCTTCTAAAATTTATTCTTTCATTCTGCTTTATCACAATAGAGGTACAAAAGATGCAGCAACCACTTATCTACACAGAGTATGTCTTTTTACCTCKGGTTAGTGAGAAGTCCCTTTTTTAAAAATCATTTTCCTTTTAGAGATGAATTGATATATACACACTAGAAATTCAGATTGGACCAACTCAACCAGACTACAGAAATACAACTAAATACAGAATGATCTTTTCAAGGGAAAAAATGTGCAAGCCAATCTATTAACCCTGGGAATCATTAAAAAGTAGATTCATTTTTCTCAAGAATCCTAATGACCTTTGCTGACAAGGAGAGACAATACATGTGAGGTCTCCATATGGGAACAGGACATACAGTATCCATAAATCAAGTATGTTTTCTCAAACACTATGCATTATCTTCCATAATATATAAGTAGATAATATCTACTATTTCTCAGAATGTAGATCTGATGACTGGGAAGCTAGGGCATCAAAGACAGGTTCTGTGCAGAAACTGGTGTGTTGAGTTTATTTCAATTTGCCTTTGGTTTAAGACATTTTGACTTCAGTGAACTTGTCATCTATGATCAGAGGAAGATGTGATGTAGACTGTGCAGTTATGACTTTGGCCCTTTCTTCAGGTAGGCTCTAAGAAGGCTTACGGAGTTATGCAGCCTTCCCCAAACAACATTTCACCTTGCTGTCCACTCAGGTCTGGTCGCTGGTATTAAAAGGCACATCTCAGTATCCCCCAAGGGGCATAACAGCACTGTGGATTAATTTAACCTAGCAGCTCAATCTCTACAAACTCGCGACAAGCAAATGAAATTACATGGTCAAACAATGAGAGACTCGTGCTATACTCAAGCTCTTTCAAATACTTAACAAAAAGGTTTTTTTTTTCAATAAAAGCTTAATATTCATTGACTGTCTGATAAATGTAACGATGTGATACTGACCTTGTATTAATGTTTATCTAACTTTTTCCACTAGGTGTCAGACCATGGGGAAAAAGGAGGAAAGGAAAAGAAGATATATTTTCCTGTTATTAAGTTTTTCTAATGGAAATCTTTTTTTGTTACCATGTCTATATTGATACAACTCTTCAGAAAAAAATATTTATTTTCCAATGGGTACTTTGTGCTGATTAGGTGAGAAAGCATTACCTACTTTCCTGCTATTTATAACATGGCTAATGATTTTCTTCCATGTAAATAGCTTCTTATTTATCTTCAGATGCTTTCCTTGATAGGGCGAAAGTCAGGACAAAAAGGTCTTCATTGCTTTTTCTGCTACAATATAAAAATACAGGGCTATTTCCCATAAATAACTCCATTCACCCAGGTATTCTTATATGCATGCATGGGTCACTTTTCTCACATAAAGAGTGTTGCCTGCAATTTTGCTTTTGAGACTGAGATAACAACAAAAGGAGTCGTACACTATTCAGTTATCTTAAATACTAGTATATTTCTAAGAAGAATGTGGCTTAAAAAAGTGTAGCACAGGTTCTGATTATATTTCAATGCCATGCTGTGTTACTGCCCTTCAGTTCATAGCAGTTCAGCTTCCAGGATAGCTGTGTTCAGGAAAATGTTTGAAATCAGAGGAATGAGCAGGTAGTTCTCTTCTCCTATTCTGCACTAGAGTGATTGCTCCTTGCCCCACAAACACACATTTTCTAATACAGTCTAGGACAGTCCCTATTCCTTTGTTATATTACAAAATTAATGAATAATTTTATAAAGCTCTTTGTTATATTACAAAATTAATGAATAATTTTATAAAACCCTTAAGACCTGATAACACAAAACCTTCCTGTTTTACTTACATAGTGCAGTTTCAATCTCTGATATACATTGGCATGTGCAGAAGCATTGTGTACCCCACATTCAGAAGAAAAGCATCAGCTTTACAATTGATTTCTGTTGTAGACTTTGCTTTATCCTATGCTAGAAATGCAGTTATTTGCTGAAATTTTGTGGAAACTTTCTCAAGTATTTGGCATAAGGAACTACTGTTTCTTTCCTATAATTGCAATATACTATTCTGTTTCTCTTAGCCATTCTAATACACTAAAATTACAATGAGCCCATCTGCATTTAGCTTTTAAATACAACAATATTTTCATCATTGCCATCTGGCTGTTCACAAATTCCTGATAACAGTAGCAATGACACATTTAGAATCACAGAATCATTAAGGTTGGAAGGAACCTCTAGAGATCATCTAGTCTGATCCCCTGCACATGCAGGGTCACCTAGAGCACGTGGCACAGGGCTGCATCCAAGTGGGTTTTGAAGATCTCCAGAAGAGACTCCACAACCTCTCTGGGCAGCCTGGTCCAGTGCAATRGGATGTCTGAAAGCAATTCTATAAATTTAATTTTAAAAAAGAAAGTACACTTAGCAATAAAAGAGTGCTTACCTTCATATGTTCCACTTTCTAAGAGAGCACCACTTTTCTCCAATTCCATAAAATCTTCAACTGTGATGAAAATATAGTCCACACCAGGGACTTCTCCCTCCTTATGTGGCCTTGTGGTGCCTGTTAATAAAGAGAAAGACAGAGTCAAGCACGAGAAATAAACGCAGAGGTCCATTCCATACAGAAATTCCAATCTTCTGRAAAGTTTTGGAAAATTCACAGAGTAAAGAAAAAATGTATACAACATATCATCTGGCATATCCTCCTTCTGAGGATGTTTTTCAAAAGCATATAGCTACATCTGTTGAAGCTGAGGTATATCAGACACCTTTAAAAGGATGGACTAGATGTTATCTGGACTCAGATTATGTAGCCTAACTACGGGAATGCTTCATATTGCTATTCTTTCATTCTGTGACCCTCACTAAGACAAGACATTCATATATAACATGATTCTTAGATGTATATTTTCTGTCTCTCTGTGCAAAGTTTTGTCTGCAAATATTCTGCTCCACGTTTTTTTAGAGGCTTATTTATTAMATAGAATAATAAATCTGTAGTGGAATTTGTAAAGGTTTTATTTATACAGCTCATTTCAGTGCCTAGAGTGGCCTTATACACCAGGACAAATGGTTAGACCTAAGTGAGTGAGTGATTCAGATCTGCTAGCCATGCTGTCAGACTGCAAAGGTGCTAAAATTTAGTCATTCCCTCTATTGTCATCTCTGGATGACAAAATTCCACAAATACCAACACACCGTATTTCAAACACATCAAGAAGTAACTTCACCTTTGCTAGAAGGCCAGATGTTAACCCAAAAACATCTAAATTTGACCGAAGCTCCTTGGGTGGCCAAATTTATTGAGTTTAGCTACTTTGACTGAAAGCATGAAATACATCTCAAAACTTTATTTGGAAACAAAAGACCAAGTTTTTAGGTTCTTCTCAGCTTCAGAGTGTTTGAAACATCTTAATCAATCCTGATCACTACTGTATTGATTACATCACACTTCCTGGGTTTGGTTTCACAATTATGCAGCGGACTAACCAYGAGCTCGATTCTCTTGGCCATACATCAATGTCTAGTAGGTACCTACCTGAGGTACCTTCAATAACTCAGAAGCCATCATAATACTAGCAGATGTGACAAAGCACAAAGGGGAGATCCACACTTCTGCCCACACTTTAGGGGCATTCAAGTAGTACTAGATTCCTAAGGCTTTTCAAGTAGTACTAGATTCCTGTATTTAGGCAACTGAATCAAGTCCCAAAATGTGGGTTTCTGAATCTCACAGGGAATCCTTCTCTTGACCTTGACCCAGTGGAGACTTTTGTGACATAGAGGGCACGTTAGAAGAGCCAATTTCTCTCAATGACAGTGAAAGGCGTCATAGTGAATCTCCATCCCACAACTCTGGTTGGGGATTCCACCATCTGGATACATCTGGAATACATCTGAATATATCTGAATAAATCTATAAGATATATTCCTTTATTGGTATGWTTTTGTTTTCACTTTCATTTCATTGCAACATTTAAAAGTAAAACTCTGCCTATTTGGCAACTGATTTCTGGGCATTTCATATTTACACTGGTGACTTTTTTAGGACAATTACTATTGCGTTTCAGGAAGGATATGATTCTATTTCCAAAACAGGCATTTAGAATGTCCCTAACTAGGTTGAATTTACTCCCCATGGAAAATACAACCACTGGGGGTACAGCTGCATCCTCAAAGACATCAAACTCTTTGTGATACCAGAAGCACAGGAATTCTGCCAAGCTCCCTGAGCTCCCAGAAGCTCTATTAACAGCACAGGCATCAGATATTTCATCTACATGCTCTCTCCTGAGGAATTTCTGATTTCTCTCTCTGAGGAATTTTTCACTCCCAAAGTCTATTGGCAGGGACTGTACCTGCCCTCATAAAATACAAAGGATAAACAAGCTTTGGAACATGAGGGCTATGTTGTTTCTAGAGAGAATTTGGGGGAGAAGTTACCATATTATATGAGTAGTACCTGTAACTTACTGATTCTTCAGGTCTTTTTTCTTTTTTGTCAGGGCCARTTGGGATTAGCAATTACCAGTTATTTAGGAGATCAGACATAAATACAAGCAAAATAAAATGTGGGGCTTAGCCATGCTTTGAGTGGAAAGTTGGGGCAGATCACATCCTGAGGTCCCTCCAAACCTGTTACTCTATTAAATATAAGATATTAATACCTTGGAGTTCATCTTAAAATACTCAAGTACTCAGTGAGCATGCCTACAAAATGTTTCAGAAGTTCCTACTTCGGTCACCACCTTTGGTCTACTTGCCTATATTTAACTTCCACTTTYACATCAAAATCTCTCTGTTATTTCAGAAAATTGTAATGGAATAACTTTTAAACTCTTGATCTCTGTCTCAATTTGAAGGCTAAAGACCAGACCTTTCTGCTCTCTTGGGTGTGACTTTATCATGTTCTTTAAAATACGGTGCATGTATGTTCCAATATGCCTTGCATTGTGAATTGATGAATTTGGTTTCCATGCTTTCCATTCAAATGAAATGCATATTTCAAATGTAGAATTCTCATTCTGAATCCTTAACTCATTCTGAATCCTTAACACTCAGAGTTAACTCCAGCATGTGTGTTCTCCTTTCAACTTGTATATCACCTGTCCTCATGTATAAAGTAGTCCTGGGATCCTCTATGCTTASTGCTGGCAATGTAAATATTATCTTGTTCTCTAACACTGTCACATTCATTGAGATATTCAGCTATTTCTGATAGTCTCCTGCTTCAAGATGAAAACAAGAGATTTTTTGTGGCAAAGCAGAAATAACAAAACCTAACTTAAGAATCATTCACGTACTACAGCTAATTAACTAAACTAATTCAGCCTCCCTGAGTCTCAATTTCCCATCTCTTTTCCTACATGACTCARTAGCTAGTGGTGATTCTACCGTATGTCTTTTTTCACTTTTCTTGACCCATGGTTTCGCTAGAAATCTCAGTATGGCAATGAGGAATCCTTTCTGATGCAACTTGAATGGAAACTGAAACATTTTGCAGATTAACATTTTTAAGGAAGAATAGATTTTCTGAACAATTTCCTGTCAGTTCTACATATCCCAGATATGACTACCCTACAACRCCAGAAGGCAGTAGTATCACTTAGATGGATAAAACAAAATGTTCCACCCTCTTTTCATAAAACCTTTAAGTAGTCTGCTCCACAAGCTCTATACACAGTATAAACCTCCATACGCTATACATTYGTACTTTTTAAGGTAGCAACCCCTAAGTACACCCAAGGTTGTATTCTATAAGCTGTCAACCACTTACCCTAGAAAACCGGAATTAAGAGCAAACTCTGTCTGCAGGTTGCCCATTTCSCCAGGTACAGCAGTGTCCATCTGCACCAGAACCTTGTAGCCTTTGGAAAATCCTTCCTGAGTCTCATTTCCTTCCTGCACCTGTTCTCATTCCCTCAGCCTGGAGGACCTGAAATCTTCAAATGATTAACAAAATTCCCTCATGGAATAAACAATAGCTGTAGCCTGTTTTACTCCTTAACTCCGGTCAAAGTGAGTTGCTGTTTGTTTCCTTTATATCCTTCTGTATCACTACATTAGTATCCAAGTGATAATATGTTAATATTTAGTGGCAATTAATGAAGATTTTTAAATGCCTTTCAAGATTTGAACACTGAGATTCGTTTTATGTGCAGTGATCTTGTGGGTCATGGACATTTTTTCTCTTTCATTTCTTTTAGATTATTGCAGAGCTATTGTTCCCAATAGATTTTGCTGCTAACTATAYTCATATAAAAGAACAAGTAGCCCTAAAAGCCACACATTCAAGAATTAAAACAAAAGATTGATTTCAAGATACATATTTTTACAGAGACACAACAAGGCTCAATATGATGCACTTGCTACTACTTACAATGTTTAGTCTTTTATTAACGTAAAATGAACACAGGAACCTAGTTACCATTTTGTCACCATGGTAACGGGAGGAAAAAATCATCTTTGAATTCCATAATGAAAGAACATGATACTTCCAGACCTTGCAGGATCAAAACCAGCATGGTAGATTTGCACTATGCATATTCATGACCGGGGCAGTCTGTTGTTCCTGTTAAACAGAGGACACGTGAGAACAGCGGACAGGTAACCCGCGCTGCCTCACAGTACGCAGGCCCCTTGGAAATGGAGGAGCCTCATCCACAAAATCTGCACTGATCCCGACTCTGACCGCACGTGGAKGAATGCTTATAGCATTGCAGAACTGCTTTCCTGCAAGCCTGATGCTACCATCGACATTACTGGCAGGCACTCTTTTCACAGTGGTTTCAAGGTGAATTTCACAGACTTACTTTGTATCTGCTTCTGTTTCTTGGTAAGGGAAGAATGGATCACCCAGGGACAAGGATGAAGAGCCTACAAGAGACCTTGGCTCTAAGACTCTCAATTAAAAGCACGTTTTAGCTCCTCCTTTTGCTCTTCAAAATCTTTTTCCTTTCCTAGTGAACTGGCTGTCATTTCACTAATTCCACTAATTTCACTCAGAAAAAAAATCAGTTGTGATCCTCCTAATTTTTAACAACCTGACTGCTTGACAGACAAAACCTATGTCATGGCAAAGGGACTAAACTGTTTTCAAAAGCAACATTACATGTAAAATATAAGTATTATACATAGCAAAGAAATAGAACAAAATACAAAGGATGAGCAAGTTTTCATACTGCTCATGATAAATGCACCCTCTTTTTCCAATTCTAATAAGAAGAAAGAACTAGACTATGTTATGATATTTCATTATTTTTAATATTCCTGTACCAGAGGTTAATCTTGACTGCAGTTATTACATAAAGGCCCTGCTTACAACATTCATCTATTTGCTCACGTATTAAATATTGAGGTCATTCACTGAGCAACTGCTTTGTCTGTATTTTTCATAACTTTAGGATAGATACCTGCTACAATTTAGATATATTTATGGTATGTGACACAAAACAAAACAAAAAAAACCCCAAACCCCACACCTTTGCAGGTTGTTCCTTCTTCTGCACTAAAAGAGAAAAACGATATACCATATTTTAGTGCAGGCTTTTCATACTTAGC